GCCGCCGCCGCCGCCGCCGCCGCGCGGAAAGAAGAAGCCGCGGAAAAGAGACGGAAAGAGGCCGCGGCGAGCGCGGCGAAGTTCGCGTCGCCGTGGGGCGCCGCCGCGACGACCAGGAAGATGCCGACGTGGAAGGTCCAGACCCCGATCGAGGTCATCGACGACAACTCCATCGACCCCGCGCGCGGGCTTCCGAAAAAGTCGAAATCCAAGTACCACGTCGCCAACGCGAAGCGCCGCCGCGGCGACGGCGCGGTGGAAGACGAAACGTCAACCGGCGCGGGCTACGGCGGGTCATTCTTCGTGCCGGGGTCCCCGGGGAAGGGTCGCGGCGGCGTCGGCGGGAGCCGCGCCGCCGGGGCTGGGGATCACTTTGGATACTCCCCGCCGACGTCGCCCGCGCGCGCGGGCGCGGGGCCCTCGGGCCACCTCAGCGACGACGAGGCGTCGCCATCGAAAGGCGGGACCCGGAGGTGGAGCGGCGTCGATCGGTTCGACGAGAACGGCGGAGTCGGCTCGTGGGGCGATCACCCGGAGTCGATCCGAACGTGGTCCGCGTCCGGCCGCGGCGCCGCCGACGGGTTCGGGTTCGGGAAGCCGCCGTCGCGCGGGAGGGACGCGGAACGTCAACCGTCGCAAGCCACCGCCGCGCCGACGCCGACGCTGACGCGGTCGCAGTCCGTCGGCGCGTTCATGGTGGACGACGCGAAGCCGGGGCGGAGAGCATCGGACGACGGCGCGATTCGAGACGGCGGCGGCGGCGGCGGCGCGGGCGCGGGCGCGGGGGACGCGCCGATTCGCGCGCCGACGCCGACGCACGCGCGGAGTTCGAGCATAGGGAGCGAGTATCCCGCGATGTGGGACGTGTTCGGCGTGCGGCCGAGGAGCCCGGGGTTCGGGATCAGCGCGAACGGCGGCGGGAAGGACGGGAAGTGATGAGACGCGGCTGGCGACGCGAGTCAGTGATACATTATTATCCGGGCCGCGGCCGTTCCGGCGTTTCGTCGTTCGTCTCGTCGAACGCTATCGTCGTCCCCGCCTCTCTCGCGTCTGCCGTCACACCCGACGTCGCCGTCGTCGATTCTCCCCCTCGAAACGAAACGATGTCCATGAGCGTCCCGAGCACGTGCCTCGCCGCGCGTTCCCTCCCCGTCGCCGCGGCCAGGCACCTCAGCGCGTGCCGCTCGCGCGCCGCTCGCGGCCACGTCGCGCCCGCGCAGATCGCGCGAACGATCGCGGCGCCGTCCTCCCCCTCCCCCTCCTCCTCCTCCTCGCGCCGCCGCCGGCATCACGTCCTGACGACCGCGGGGTGGAACGACTTTGAGTGGGGCACCGCGTCGATCGTCTCCAACGACGCGGCGACCCCCAAGGGCGGGCTCCGGTCCATCGTGATCTCCGTCGACGCGAGCGTCGCGGAGGGATACGTCACTCCCGGGCAGTTCGTCCAGATGCGAACGTCCGAGGACGGCAAGCCCGCGTTCCTCGCGATCGCGTCCGCGCCCGCTGACGTTTCGTCTTCCTCCTCCGCGAAAACCAACGAGCTCTCGCTCCTCGTGAAGTCGTCCGACGGCACCGCGGGGGAGATCTGCGCGTTGGAGGCGGGCGCGGAGGTCGGCGTCTCCCCGGCCATGGGCTCCGGCTTCGACGTGAGCAAGGTGGGATCCGGTCGGGCGGCGCGCTGTCGACCTCACGTTTTGACACGTGGGATAGCCATCCACCAATCTCGCGCCCGCACGACTGACGCGCGTCTTCCCTCGACCAATCGCAGGCGCCCGCGGACGCCTACCCGACGACGCTGCTCTTCGCGACGGGCAGCGGCATCTCCCCGATCCGCGCTCTGATTACCAGCGGCGCGCTGAAAGGCCGCGACGTGACGCTGTACTACGGCACCGCGAGCGGAGAGACGACCGCGTTTCTGGACGAGTTCGAGACGTGGAAGAAGGCGTGCGGCGTGCGCGAGGTGAAGCACGTGCAGTCTCAGGCGCGTTCTATACACTGGTCCCCATACGACCGCGTCGGCGTGGTGAACGCCGATCCTTAAGGACTTTACTTCCCGGCGCATCTCTCCGCCCAGGGTCCCTCGCTTTCGATCCCGACACACCTCGGCGCCTTTCAACTCCAACTGACGCCGTTCAACTCCACCCCGACATTCGCTCGTATTGAACGACCCTCAGGTCGGGGGTCCGCCGACGTACGTCCAGGACCAGCTCAAGGCGGATTTGGAAAACGTCGACGGAGGGAAAGCGTGCGCAGTGTTGTGCGGGCAGAAGGAGATGACCGAGGCGGTGATCGAGGTTTTGGAAGGCGCCGGCGTGCCCAAGGAGCGGTGCATCATGAACTTCTGAGCGACGACGAACGAGTGAGTCCGCGGGCGCGGAGTCAACGGTGAAGAACGAACGTTATTATTTCGATTCGCAAACGACGTCGTCTACTGTAATAAGCGCTACGCTATCGCTAGTCGTACGAGTCGTTCAAGAACGCGAGGAGGTTCTGACGGTTCGTCTCCAGCTCGACGTCCCGCTTCGTCTTCTCCACCTTCATCTTAATTCTCTTGCCGGACACCGCGGATATCTTCCCGTCGACGCGGTCGTGATGATGCCGTTTCCGCTTGTTCTTGCCGCTCTTTTTTTCCTTCTTCTGATCCCTCTTCGAGTCCTTCCCAGAGCGCTTCTTCTGGCGCTTGCGCTTGTGCTCCTTCTCCTTGTGCTCCTTCCGCTCTCTGCCGCGCTCGGGGGCGGGCGGCGAAGGCGACGGTTCGCGTCGCTTCGGCGACGGTTCGCGTTCCCGCTCCCTGCGCCTATCCCCGTCGCGCACTCTGTCTCGGTCCCTATCGTGTTGTCTACGATCGCTTCGCTCATCTCCGACGCGCTCGTCGTCGTCCCACCCGCTCCGTCGCCGGTCGTCGCCGTCTCGGCGCCGATCGCGCGAGCGCGACCGAGAGCGCCGTCGTTCGCCGCGATCGCGCGACCGCGACCGCTCGCGGTCGCGATCGCGGTCGCGGTCGCGGTCGCGGTCGCGGTCGCGGTCGCGGTCGCGGTCGCGGTCGCGGTCGCGACGCTCGCGGTCGTCGGACGCCCACGGCGGCCTCGAGTCGCGAGGGTCGGGGTCTCGACGAGGGAGACGGTCGCGACGATCGGACGATCCTCCGTCCCCGCTCCTTCGACGACCGCCGCGCGAGGTCGACGAGGAGGACGACGAGGAGGAGGAGGAGGAGGAGGAGGAGGAGGCGCTCCTGGACGACCGGCTGCGGCTGCGCGCGCGCGGTCGCGCGCGGTCGCGCTCGCGCTCGAGCGCGTCCGCGTACATCTCGACGCGCGACGAGGTCTGGCAAAGCGGCCGGAGGTACAGCTGTATTTTCTCCGTACCCGGACTCGCCCGGCCAGCCCCTTCTGGACGACTACTACGCTACTCGCTCCACCGACCCGCATCCCTCGGCTTCACCCCGAGCTCAGCTCCTGAACGAAAGAAACGAATCGACTCATCGACTCATCGCGCTTTCCTCCCTCCCTCCCTCCCTCTCACCGCTTCGTCTGTGTGTCCTCGTCGTCCTCCTCCTCCGCAGCGCCAGCTGTACCCAAAAAACTCGGCAGACGCTCGCCTCGGTACCGAACCCGCTCGTCGTCGCGCCGCTCGATCTTCCCCCCGCCCACCATCCCCCCGATCGAAGCCGTCCCGCGCCGCGCCGCCGCACTCACCGCGGCGACCTCGTCGGCTTCCCTTCTGAGCGCGGCCGCGGCGAACCCTAAGCTCACCCCTCGCGCGTCCGTCCGTCCGCCCGCGCCGCCCGCCCACTTGGCCTCCTCTCTCCGCCGCGACGCGTCGATCTCCGCGTCGCTCAGCCGCAACGCCGCGATGGACGCGATCTCTAATTTAAACGGCCCGGTCGCGGACGTTTCGAGATCACCGGCGAACCCGCCCCCGCCGCCGACGACGCCGACGCCGAACCCGATCACGCGCCCCTGTCGCATCGCGTACTTGTGCCGCATCACGCGCCCGCGGTGCGTCTTCAAGAATCGATCCATCGGGACGACGACATCCGCCCATCGCCCCGCGGGCGCGAACAGAAACGCCTGCCACAGGTCGTCCTTCGCGTTCGTGACCCAGTCGTCGGTCTTCAGGCTCAGGACGTAGGGTTTCCCGTCGGAGAAGACGCGATACCGCAGCGCGGTCGCGGCTTCCAGGTCGAAGTACTCTCCGTCGGGGAGGTCCACGGTGCTGCAGCCGGCGAATCCGGAGCGACGCATCGACTTCGTGACGCGCGGCGCCGGCGGCTCCGTCGTCGACGTCATCGTGACGGTCGACGATGAGTGCGCGTTATTACGTTCGCGCGCGATCGCGTCGCGTCGAGACGCCGCCGCGATGTTGTCCATCCGGAGCTCGTACGTCGACGACGACGACGACGACGAAGGCGACGACGACGACGACGACGACGACGCGTCGCCGAACGCCGCGTCCGCCGCCGCCGTCGCCGCCGACTTGGACCGACTCGCCAGCGGCGCGACCGTCTCCGTGCGCAGCACGCCTTCGAGGACCATCGCGCCGGCGTCGCCGTCGGTCGCGCCCTCCGGCCGCCCGCGCCACGACAGCGTCGCCGTGGACGTCCCGCCGTGCGGGGCGTCGCTCCACGCCCTCCATCCCGCGGAGACGACGCGCGCGGCGTCGAACCGCATGAGCGACTCCGCGGCGGGGGGGAGCAGGTCCTGTCCGAGCTGGACGTCGTGCGCGTACTTGCCGAGGTCTTTCATCACGCGTCCCAGCCACGCCATGACGCCCGCGCGGCCCGCTCGGGTCGAAGTGGCGGTCGAGCGATCGCGATCCCGCGAAACCGGCTGGGACCGGACCTGTCTTCGCGGAATGACTTCAGAGGGCGAAAATCTTCGGGGCCCCCCCCGCCGCGAGGGTCACTCCACCGAGCGCGGACGACATGGCGGACGACGGAGACTACGGGGGCGACGACGGGTGCGCGCCCGCGCTTCTCATCGCGTCGCCGCGATCGCGGCGACGACGATCGCTCGCGTCGCGACGCGCGTCCTTCCCTCCTTCCCGGGGCGGCCCGAACGTCGACGAAGAAATCCAACGCGCGCGTGCGATCGGTCGCCCCCGCGTCCGTCGATCGCTCGATCGATCGCTCGCTCGCTCGATCGCTCGATCGACCGATCGACCCTCCGCGCCGCCCCCGTCGCTCGCGCGCATTCGCTGACGTCCTCCCCCTCCCCCTCCGCCTCCTCCGCGATCCATCCGCGCGACCATTCCCGCGCAGGGGCTACGACGACTACGAGGACGGCGGCGGCGGCGACGACGTCGAGGCCGACGACGTCGACGCGCCCGCGGGCGAGGGCGGCGTCGACGTGCTGACCGGCGCGCCGCAAGAGGGCGGCGGCGCGGTCGCCCCCGCGGATCGCACGACGACGCCGTACATGACGAAGTACGAGCGCGCGAGGATCTTGGGCACGCGCGCGCTGCAGATCTCCATGAACGCGCCCGTGCTCGTCCAGCTGGACGGCGAGACGGATCCGCTGGAGATCGCGGGGAAGGAGCTGCGAGAGAAGCGCATCCCGTTCACGGTCCGGCGGTACCTCCCGGACGGATCCTTCGAGGACTGGAGCGTGGACGAGCTCATCATCGAGGACCCGGACCGCCGACGCGGGTTGTAGATAGGAAGGACGCGCGAGGCGAGGCGAGCATTAGCGTTTCGAAGGATGGAGTAGAGACCGGAATTTCGCGAAATTGAAATCGTCGCCGACGCCGCGCGTGAAGAGAGCTCCTCGCGTCGTCGGTCGTCACACCATTCGAAGGATCACGTCGCGGACGCGGTCGTCGTCGGAACGATGCACGCCGTGCTTCTCCCGTGCGTCCATAACGCTCGCCTCTCCGCCGTTTTCTATCGTCTTCGCGAACGCCCGCGCAGCGTCCACGTCCAACGAGAGCAGCGCCTTGGCCTCGCGGAGCGTCGCCAGCTGCGCGTAAAACGCCGGCTTCCGACGCGTCACTCCTCCTCCGCGCCCACCTCGCCGCCTCCCGCTGATCCCGTATGCGCCGAAGACGCCCGTCAGCGCGTCCGCGTCCGCCGCGAACCGCGCGCCCCCGCTCGCGCTCCACGTCGCGGCGCCCAAGACGACGTCGCGGACGAGCCGTTCGCCCGCCGCGGACGCGAACGCCGCGGCGGCGCGCGAGAAGAGCTCGGCGTCGTCGCGGCGGAAAAAGAGCGCCGCGCGGAGAAGGCGCAGCGCGCGACGCGTGTAGTCCAGCGTCGGCTCGAACGAGACCGCGTTGACGTTCTTCGCGCGGACGCCGCCCGCGCCGTCGAACCCGAACGTCTCGAGATTTTTCCCGCCGCGATACGCCGCGCTCGCGTCTGCGAACCCTCTCTCGAGGTCTTTCGCGATCCGCGCCACGCGCTCGTCCACGAACGCGTCGAACGCGCCGCACACGTCCGCGAAGACGTCGGCGCCGATCGCCAGCGTCGCCGGCTCCTCGCCGAGGTCGCGGAGGGCATCGGAGAGGAACGACGCGGCGCGGACGCACCCGCCGACGACGCCGAGCGCGTTGTCGAAGCTCCAGCAGCGGCGCCTGAGGATGTCGAGGAAGTCGTACGCGATCGCCGCGGCGACGTTGAGGAGGTAGGACACGCGCGGGTCGTGATCGTAGTCTTCGTCCTCTTCGTCGTCGTCGTCGTCGACGACGACGACGTCGTCTTCCTCCTCTTTCTTCGCTCCCCGCGCCGCGCGTCGTCGTCGTCGTCGCGGGCGCGGCGCGGGCAGGACGCACGCGCGCTCGGTCGCGCGTCTGACCGTCTCCAACACAACCTGCGCGATCGGCGGCACCCCGGACAACGCGTCGTCGTCGTCCTCGTCGTCGTCTTCGTCGTGATCGGCACCATCGGCACCCTCGGCACCCTCGGCACCCTCGGCACCCTCCTCGCCGGAGAAGAAAGGGTCCGCGTCGCCTTCTTCGTACCCCGCGTCTCTCCCGACGTCCCTCGGCGTCCACGCGTCGTCGTTCCGCGCCTCCGCGGCTCTGTGCGTGGTCCGCAGGCCGTCTCGCATCTCCGCGGCCATCCACCGCGCCGCCCACGCGTCGTTCGAGCGCGCGATCGCGCCGAGGCACGACGCGCGTCGCGGCGGCGGGAATCGTTTGAGCCCGCCGCCGCCGCCGCCGCCGCCGCCGCCGGCCGTCGCGACCGCGACGACGTCGTCGAACCGCGCCGCCTCGTCCGCGAGGTGCAGCCACGGCGCGTCGTCCGCGGCGCGCACGCCGTCGCTCGCGCTCGCGCTGCCCTTCGCAGCCTCCTCGGCCTCAATCGCGGCCGTCGCGGGGAGGAGATGCCGGCGGAGGATCGCCGCCGCCGCCGCCGCCGTCGCCGCCGCGAATCCAGCCTCTAGTCGCCGCGTCGATTCACCCGATCGTCGTCCTCGTCCTCGTCCTCGTCCTCCTCCCTCGCGCGCCTCGTCGTCGTCGTTCGCCTCTAAGTACGGTCCCATCGCGCGCGACAGCGCGGGCGCGAGCGTCGCGACGATCTTCCCCGCGCAGAGGAACAGCCGCTCGGGGCGCGTCGCGTCCGACGCGACGCCGCCGCCGGCGAAATGCGACGTCAACGACGCCGCCGCCGGCGCCGCGAACGCGTCGGCGACCCAGCACACGCCGCCGCCGGCGGATACGGCGGATACGGCGGCGTCCTCTCCGGAAAAAAACGCTTCGTCGTCGTCGTGGTCGCCGTCGACGTCATCTTCGGCGTGCCGCGCGCCCGACGCTTCGAGCGCCGCGACGGCGGCGCGTCGCGACGTCGCCAGCGCCCTCGCCGCTTTCGCGACGACCTCGTCGTCTAGATCGCCGAGGTCGCCGCCGCCGCCTTCCCGCTCCTCCTCCTCCTCCTCCTCCTCCCCCCCCCCCCTCTCCCTCTCCCACGCGTACGCGTCGACCGCGTTCGGCGCGATCGCCGGTGGCCAGCGCCGCGCCTTCGCCGCGCCGGCGATCAACGCGCGCGACGCGACGCCGCGGACGACGCGCGCCGCGGCGACGACGCGAACGCTGATCGCGCGCGCGAACCGGCGGTACGCGCTCGCGTCGTGAGCGACGGACGCGGACGCGGACGCGAGCGCGCTCGTCGCGACGCGCAGCGCGGCCGCGCACGCCTCCGCGCGCTCCAGCTGGGAGAGAAGCGCGGAGGTGTTCGACGCGTCCGACGACGATCTCTGACGCGAATCGTCCCGCAGCGACGACGCGAGTCGCGTCGCCTCGCGCGTCGCGCCCTCCGCGCGCGCGTGCTCGCGAAGCGCGTCGGAGACGTCGCGCATCGCGCGCAGCCGCGCGACGAGCGACTCGACGTCGTCGCCGTTCGTCGCGCCGTCGCGCGCGATATCGGCCTCGCCGTCGCCGACGCCGACGCCCGCGCGCGTCGCGTCGTCGTCCGCGGTCGCGGCCGCGGACTCGAGGAGGGCGCGGAGGGTGGTCCTCGTCGACGTCGCGTCGCGGAGCGCGGTTGCGAGCGACGCCTCCGCGTCCTTCGCGGCGGCGAGAGCGCGCGACGCGGACGCCGCGGCCGCGGCCGCGGGCGCCGCGGTGGTTCGCATGCGCGCCGCGCTCTGCCGGCGCGGGGCGCGGACGGTCCGAGGCGAACGAATTCAGCATTCACAGTTCGGCGGGCGCGGGTGCCAGCTCATCATCATCATCACAACTCATGGCCGCGAGGTGCCTCGCCGCACGCGCGTCGCCGCTGCCGACGCGCCGACGCGCGGCGCCGTCGCACCGCGGCGGCGCACCGCGAATCGCGCGACCGCGCCGCGACGCCGTCGTCGTCGTCGTCCGCGCGAGCGACGACGACGTCGACGACGACACGTCAGCCGAGGATCTGATCGTCGAAGTCGAGGATCCGCAGACGTCGTCGTCCTCCTCCTCCTCCTCCTCCGACGTCGCCCCGTCATCAGATGCAGACGCGTCCTCCCCCCTCGGCGACCTCATCTCCAGCCCGCTGTTCTACGTCACCTTCGGCATCCTCGGCGGCGTCGGCGTCGTCCAGAAGTTCGAGAACGCCGCGCTCGTCCTCGCCGCGTTTCCGATCGTCGGCCTGACGCTCCTCAGCAAGTCCGACTTCGGCCGACGGCTCGAGGAGAACATCCTCGAGCGGCGACCCGCGCTGGAGGCGAAGCGCTCAGAGGTGGAGCGATTGCGAGAGGAGGCGATGGAGGCGTCGCCGCTGTACGGCGAGGCGCGGCCGCTGCTGCCGGGGATATCGTCGCCGCCGCCGCATCTGACGGGGACGCTCGCGGGAGACCGCGGGTTCGATCCGCTGAGGCTCGGGAAGACCCCGGAGTCGCTCGCGCGAGGCGTCGAGCTCGAGCTGCTTCACGCGCGGTGGGCGATGCTCGCGGTCGTCGGCGTCGCGGTCCCGGAGGCGCTGTCCATCGCGGGCGCGCTCCCGGAGGGCGCCGCGCTCGCGGAGCCGGTGTGGTGGAAAGTCGGCGCGGCGAAGCTCAACGGCGAGTCGTTAAACTACGGCGGCCTCGGCGGGTTCGTCATCGCGGGGAAGCAAGGCGTCGCCGTCATCGCCGCGTGTCAGGCCGTGTTGATGGGCGGGCCGGAGTACGCGCGGTACGTCGGCATACGAAGCCTCGAGCCGGTGGGCGTGTACTTGCCCGGAGACGCGAATTACCCGGGGGGAGCGCCGTTCGATCCGTTCGGATTGTCAGGTGCGTTCTATACAAAAGTTTTTCACCCATCGTCCGGTTTCAACACTTGATCGCGTCCCCTGTCAACTGACCGGAGAACTGTTTTTGTATGGAATGGCCCTCAGACGACGCGGATAGGTTCGCGCGACAGAAAGTGATCGAGATCGAACACGGGCGACTCGCGATGGTCGCGATGTTAGGGTGCTTCGCGCAGGCGATCGTCACCGGGGAAGGGCCGGTCGCGAACTGGGTATCGGTGTTCCGACGCGTCGGCGGCGGGGGCGACTCGTGACGTCGTCGCGAGACGAGCGCGGAACTGAATGAATTATTACGATCTATCCGCGTTCGGAGGAAGGCGCTCGTCGAGCCTCTCACCGTTTGATCGACGCCGCCGGCGGCGGCGGCACGACCCTCCCGCCGCCTTTCCTCCCCACGCCGTCCGACGCCACCTTCCCCCCCCACGGCCGAACGACCCCGCGCACGTCCCCGCGCACCGTCTCCCGGCGCTCCTCCGCGTTCACGCGCGAGTGCACGCGCTCGTCGTTCGTCTGCGTCGCCGACTCGCTAAACCTCCTCGCGCGCGCCTTCGCCGCCGCCGCCGCCTCCGCCTCCCGCCGCGGCCGCTCGTCGCGCTCGCGCATCTCCTCGAACGCGCGCAACACCGCGTCCGCGACGACCGCGCGCTCGGCGCGGCTCAGATCCTTCGCCGCCCTCGGCGCCGGCGCGGCGCGCTCGCGCGCGCGTCCGTCTTCGACGCGGCCCCGTTCCCACGACGCCGCCGTCGGCAGCCTCTCGTTCCCGGGCTTGACGTTCACGCCGTCCGCGTCTCCGCCGGGGCACGTCGCGACGACGCGCGGCATCGCGGCGCGCTTCGCTTCGTCGTCGAGCTTCTCGAGGTACGCCGCGACGGTCGCCGCGACGACGTCGAACGCGCGGTCGCCGATCGACGCGCGGTCCGCGTCGAGCGCCGCGGAGGCTGAATCCTTCTCGGAGACGGCGCCCTCCAATCGCTGAGGGTGATCATCGTCCGTGCGAAGCGACGAACGTCGGGGTGGAGTTGAGGGGTGCGTCAGATGAGTCGAAAGGCGTCGAGGTGTGTGCGTCGGGATTGTGAGCGAGGGACCCTGATGGGCGGAGAGAAACGACCGCCGGGAAGTAAAGTCCTTAGGGATCGGCGTTCACCACGCGAACGCGGTCGTACGGGGACCGGTGTGATGATCGAACGCGCCTCGGCGCGGAGAACCATCTTCCGCTGCGCCTCCCCCATCGCGACGATCTCCTCTTGCACGAGCTCGTCGTCGTCCGCGCGCTTCACCGCCATCTCCCGCAGGCGCTCCTCCCCGAGTTTCAGCTCCGCGATCAGCGACTCGACCTCCGCTCGGAGCTTTTCGCCGCGCCGCGCGGCTCTCGCGTTCATCTCGTTCGCGAGCTCTAAATCCACGAGCGTCTCTCCGCTCGCGCGCCTCTGCTCGTCCGACCTCGCGAGCGCTTTCTCCGCGCGCTTGCTCGACGACGCGAGCTCCATGGAGAGCTCCTCGTTCTCCAGGATCGTCCGCTTGGTCGTGACCTCGAGCTGGTCGTCCGTCAGACGCATGAGCTCTTCGTTCGTCGCGCGAACCTTCTCCGCGAAGTCTCGTTCCAACTTTGGGTCGACGGTCCACACGAGCGAACGTCGGGGTGGAGTTGAAAGGCGTCAGATGGAGTTGAAAGGCGTCGCGAACGGGGTTCGAAACCGAGGGGTGGGAGGAGAGATGCGCCGGCGAAAGTCCTCAAGGATCGGCGTTCACCACGCGAACGCGGCCGTACGGGGACCAGTGTGATAAGTTGAACGCGCCTTATCCCGCGCCAACGCCGCCTCGCGCTCCGCGTCCGATATCTCGTTCTTCTGCGCCTTGTTCTCGCTCACCAGCGCGCTCGTGATCGCCTCCAGGCCGCCGACGATTCGATCGCGGTCCGCCTTGAGCTCCTCTGCGGCCTTCGCCTTGGGGTCGTTCCATGCGAAGAATCGCATCGTCGGGGCGGAGTCGAAAGGCGTCAGACGGAGTCGAAAGGCATCGCGGTGTGTCGGGATTGAAACCGTGATGTGGGCGGAGAGTGACGAAGGGCAAAGTCCTTAAGGAATCGCGTTCACCACGCCGACGGGGTCGTATGGGGACCAGTGTACAGAACGCGCCTTGGCCGCGAAGGTCTCGCGTTCCTCGAGCAGCCGCGCTTCGCGCTCGACGCGCGCGCCCTCCTCCGCCGCCATCTCCTCCGCGTGCCGCGCCTTCTCCTCCTCGATCTGCCGCTCGTACTCCGCCGCGAGCGCTTCCAGGCGCGTCAGCGCGTGCTCCCTCGCCGCGATCTCCGCGGTGACGTACTCCGCGACGTCGCGCTCCGTCTCCTCCTCGCGCGCGATCGCGTCTCGCAGCGCCTCTCGCGTCGCCGTCAGCGCCTCGGTCGCGCTCGACGCCTTGGCGAGGCACGCGCGCATCTCGTGGAGCTGGACGTCGAGGACGTGGATCTCGCGGTTCGCGATGGACGGGTCGTGCGGCGGGTGGGGCTTGGCCGCGGCGGGCGTTGCGGCGGCGCCGGCGTCCTTGCCGCCCTTTCCGCCCGGCTTCTTAGGAGGCATCGTCCAGTCGCGACGGACGCCTCCGCGGATTCGCCTCGGCCCTGGCGGGTCGCGCGCGCGCCTCCCGCCGGCCGCGCGCGGTCGTCGTCTCCTCTCCTTCGCGCGAGGGGCGCGCTCCGCCGCGCGCGCGCCGTCCTCCCGCGGACGCCGTCGCCGTCGCCCTCCCGACGCGCGTCTCGTTGTCATCACATCCGTGATGATGACTCGATTTGGCTCGTTCGAGATCCGTTTTCGACTGATCATTTTCATCGAGGCTTCCGATGAAGAAGTTCAGTGAAGTTTCTTTCAAAATTGTTTTTCAAAGGGCCGCTCGTTCTCGTTCGCAGAATCGCATTCCGGTCGCCGCACTTTTTACTATCCTACAGTATCCACTCGACGATCGAGCGCGGCACTTGCTCACGCGCGGTCGCCCCGCTCGCACTCGACGGAGAGACCCCTCCTCGTCTCCGCTGCCACCGGCTCGACTTTCGCATCGGCCGAGACCCTCGTCGCACGCATCGCGCATCGGTTTCCGTCCGAGACGACGCGCATCGTCACCATGGCTTCATCGTCCGCCGCTTCGATGTCGACGATTTCGTCGGCCGCCGCCTTCCGCGCGGGCCGTCGCCGATCGACCGCGCGTCGCTCTCGCGCGGTGCGTCCCAACTCGCTCGCGTTCTTCCGCCCGCCCGTTCGCGCCGTCCGTCGCGACCCGCGCGTCGCGACGTCTCGACGCGTCGCCCCGCGGCCGGACCCGCGACGCCGCTCGCGGGCGCCGTCCGAGCCGTCGCGAGAGGGGGTTCCTTTAGGGCGCGGAGGAACTGATGGAAAAACGCGCCCGAATGAATCGTCGACTCACCCGCCTTTCCCTCTTCCCCCTCCCCCTCGCGCCTCTCCTCGCGCCTTCGCGCAGACCCCGACGACCCCGACGCGTCGTGGCGGCCATCGCCGCGCCGACGCTGCGCGATTCAGCGTCCGCGTCGTCGCGGCGGCGACGAACGACGAGGTCACGGTCAAGCAGACGGATCTCGGCGATTGCAAGGTTCGCCTCGAGGTCACGGTCCCGACGGCGGTGCAGACCGAGGCGCGGCAAAACTGCCTCGAGGGATTCGCGGAGAAGACGCAGATCCCCGGGTTCGCGCAGTACAAGAAGAGCGGCGGCCGCAAGAAGGGCGCGAACGTTCTTCCCCCCGCGGGGGTCATCGTGAACTTCGTCGGCGAGAAGGAATTCGGAGCCGCGTGCGCTGAGGAAATGTTACAGCTGTCGCTCCCGAAAGCGATGGAGGTGGTCTCCGCGACCGCGCTTCAGGATAGCGAAAAGATCGAGACCTCCTTCGACGATCTCCTCAAAGCGTTCAGCGGCAAGGAGTGCGAGCCCACCGGCGACGTCATCTACTCAGTGACCGTCGAGGTCGTCCCCACGATCAAGTGGACCGGGGACTACCGCAAGCTGTCCGTGACGGTCACCTCGCCGGGCGACGACGAGACGGACGCGCTCGAGGCGGAGGCCATCTTCAACACGCGGCTGCGCGGGCTGGGCACGATGCGCGTCGTCGTGGACCGCGGGCTCGAGATTGGCGACCAGGCGGTCATGGACCTCGAGGCGGTCAACGCGGAGACGAGGTCGCCCATCGACGGGATCAAGCAGAAGAAGTTCAGCCTGGACACGGGCGCGGCGAGGGTGAACCTCCCGGGTTTGATCGACGGAATCATCGGGATGAAACTGGGGGAGCAGCGCACGTTCCCGATCACGATGCCGAACGACTGGCCGCAGGCGTTCTTGCGCGGCGTCACCGCGGACTTCACGGTGGACCTGCGCGAGGTGTTCGAAAACACCGTCCCCGACCCCACGGATGACATCGCGTCGCAAATTTACCCGGACGCGACGTCCATCGCGGAGGCGAAAGAGAAGATTCTCGAGGCGCAGAAGGAGAACACGAAGGCGATGCTCGAGCAGGCGACGAACGAGGCGCTCGTGGACGCGCTCGCGGCCATCTGCGACGCCCCGCTGCCCGCGTCCATCGTGGAAGAGACGGGGCGGCAGATGTACTCGGAAAAGATGCTGGAGGCGCAGATCGGCCAGCAGATGTCCATGGACGTGATCAACCAGCTCGCGGCGCCGGAAATGGTGGACGAGTACCTTCGAACAAACAAGGAGTCCATCGAACTCATCGTGCGACGGACCGTCGCGTGCGAGGAGCTGTTCCGCCTTGAGAACATCGAGGTCACGGAGGAGGAGTTTAAAGCCGAGGTGGTCAGCGCCAAGGAGGAGTTCGAGCGGTACGGGACGGAGTACGACGTGCAGCGGTTGGTGGAGCAAGCGGGGGAGGTGATCGAGGCGAGGAAGTCGCTGGATTGGCTCAGGGAGCACGCGACGATCACGATCGCGCCGCCCGCGGGCAAGCAGTGAGGATGGAGCGAATGAATGATGAAAAAACCACCGACGGCCGCGAAGCCGCGGCGGGCGGCGAGGACGGCGCCCGCCGAGGAGGCTGGCGGCGGGACGTGGTGGTATATCTATGTGTTTATTATAAATACGCGCGGTATCGTAAACGATAAAACGCGCGTCTCTCTTCGTGAAGACGACGAGGGGAATCGGACAGAGCAGCCCCCCGCCTCTTTTTCGACCAGACGCTTCGTCAAAAGGCTGGCTTTTTAGGAGCCGTTTCCAGTCTCGAAAACTCCGAAAGAGGTCAACGACAGACGAGCGTCGCGAGCGCGAGGGGGAACGCACGTCGACGCGCGCGCCCACCTCGCACGCGCATCAGAGCGCTCACTCCCCGCGCGCGGCGTTCACGCGTCCGCTCTCGCGACCGCGACCTCGCCTCCGCGCCGCGCCGCCGCCGCCGCCGCCGCTCGCGCCGTCCGCGCCCGCTCGACTCCTTCCCCCCGAGGAGCCGAGCCAGATCTGCGACAACAAGATGGCGTCCTCCTCCTCCTCCCTCCGCGGCCTCCGCCGCCTCGCCGCGGCGACGCGCCGCCCCGCAGTCGTCGCCTCCGCCGCGCGAGCGAAAGCGACGCAGGCGATGACCGCGTCGCACGCGCAGCAACTCTCGTCGAACGCGCAGGAAGAGCTCGACGCCATGCCGTTCTGGGTGCCGTGGACGGGAAGCGCTCTCAATCGCGCGCTCTCGCCGTCGCAGCTCGAGCTCTTCGCGTCCAAGTTTCTCGCCGCCGCGGCGTCGGCGTCGTGCGCGTCCACGCCGTCGATGGCGGTGGCGGCGCTTCGAAAGGAGCGCGACGACGCGCTGACGCGCGCGCGGACGATGGAGGCGTCGCTCGCATCCTTTTCCCACCGCGCGTCCGACGCGGAGTCGAAACTCTCGCTCGCGAAACACGCGCTCGCGAGCGAGCTCGCGACACTTCGCGCGGACAAGGAAGCCGCGGAGCTCACCGCCGCAGACTACAGGATCGCGCTGAACGCGTTACGGGAGGAATCGCGATCGCGGTCGACGACGGACCGAGACCGCGCCGACGCTGACGCCGCCGCCGTCGACGCGAGACTCGCAGAGGTTACCGACGCGCTCGATCGCGCCGAGGCGAGGACGACGGCGGCGACGGCGCGCGCGCTCGACGCGGAGCACGCGCTCGCGTGCGCCCTCGAGGACGCCGCGAAGGCGAAGGCGAAGGCGAAGAGCGGCGCGGCGCATCACGCGACGTACGGCGCGCTGCTTCACGATTTCGGGTACAAGAGAGTGTACGCCACGCCGGTGACTTCGCTGACGTCCAAAGGTGCGTTCTCCTCACACTGGTCCCCATACGACCGCGTCGGCGTGGTGAACGCCGATCCTTAAGGACTTTTGCCGGCGCATCTCTCCGCCCATCACCCCTTGCTTTCAATCCCGTCACACCTCGACGCCTTTCAACTCCAACTGACGCCTTTGAACTCCAAAGAACGCGTCGCGGTGTACGACCAACAGCGAGCGTTCCGCGCGGAGCGCGCGGAGACGATCGCGGAGGAGAAGGCGAAGGAGGCGGCGGAGTTGTCCGGGGGCTTCTGCATCCCCGGGGTCATCTCCATCGCGGAGGGCACCGCGAACGTCAAGGGCGGCGGCGCGCGGAAGAAGAAGGGTTCGAAGGATTCGAGCGGCGACGTCGTCTCGGCGTCCATCCTCGACGGGCAACACCGCGTTGGCGCGTTGGACATCCTCCTCGCGCGCGGCGTCCTCAAACCCACCGACGCGATCCTCACCGAGGTGTTCCCGAACGTGGACGACGTCCGCGCGGCGGCGTTGTTCACGGAGATCAACGCCGCGACGCCGATTCGGTTCATGGACCTCCCCGGCGTCGTCGAGCCCGACGCGAAGTGGGCTCTGGAGGGCGCGGCGGCGAAACTCCGCGACGCGTATCCCGCGATGTTCTCCCCGAGCGTGCGGTGTAAGGTGCGTTCTATACAAAAGTTTTTCACCCATCGTCCGGTTTCAACGTTTGATCGCGTCCCCTTTCAACTGACTGGTGAACTATTTTTGTATGGAATGGCCCTAAAAGATCCCGAACGTGAACATCGACGCGCTTCGGGAGGAGCTCCACGGCGCGGAGGTGGGCTCGAGGCTCGGCCTTATAACCGAGGACGACCTCGTGGGGTGGATGCTGAAGGTCAACGCCGAGCTCGCGGAGCGGTCGGAGAAGCAGTGGCTGCGGCTGCGGCCCAAGCGCGGCCGCGCCGCGCGAGGGAGCGAGGAGACGTATCTGAAGGCGCTCGCGAAGGCGAGGGAGCACGGGTTTTTCCTCGGCATGTGCGACAGCTGGCTCGACGGGCCGGAGGACTGAGTTCCGGCGCGCGGGGGCGGTTCAAGTTCTATGAACGACGACGAGAAGGGGGGGTCGGGGTTTGCGTTTGAGAGCTAGTTCAATTCGTCGCTGGTCGCGTTCCTTCGCGACGCGTGCTACCGCATCAAGACATCGCGCGAGTGAATGAAAGACACAAAACGCGTCCGTCCATCTACACGACGCAGCGCACACTACGTCACCGTCGCCTCCGCCTCCGCCCCCGCCCCTGTGCCCTCATTCTCCTCGGGCGCGCCGACCGCGAACGAGCTCCTCAGCCTCTTGATGGTCTGCGCCCCCGCTCGCCAATTCTCCGGAAACGCGTCCACGGAGAAGACGTACAGCGTCCCGTCCTTGATCGTCGCGCTCAGAAGGTATATGTGCTCCGGGTACAGGCACCCCACCGCGCTCGGGCACGACTTCGGCGGCGGGCTCGCGACGAGCTCGTAGTCGTAGTACACGTCCCCGGTGGTCGCGTCGACGCGCTTCGCGGCGCCGAGGAGATCCGCGCGGCGATACTGAGGGTCGAGGGTCCGTACGAGCGAATATCGGGGTGAGGTTCAAAGGCGTCAGATGGAGTTGAAAGGCGTCGAGGGCGGGGGGATTGAAAGCGAGGGGTGATGGACGGAGAGACACGCCGGGAGAGAAAGTCCTTAAGGATCGGCGTTCAACACGCCGACGCGGTCGTACGGGGACCAGTGTGAGACAGAACGCGCCGAGTCGTCGATCGCGTCCAACCCGAGCGCCTTCGCGACGTCGACGTTCTCCGGCTTTCCCAGGTCCGCGATGGAACGCGCGCCGCTCGCGTCCGCGAAGCCTCTCGTGACGTACGCCGTCGCGTTGACGATGACCACGCCGTTGACCGGGTCCGCGATGTCTCGCCACGACGACGTCGTCGGCGTCTCCGCCGGCGGTCCCGGGACGGACCACAGCGACGACGCGCGAAAGTAGCACGGCGCGACGGACGGCGACGTGTTGGCGAACATGACGCGCGGTGGGAACGTCGCCTCGCCGCTGTTGCTCGAGAGGACGGAGTTCATCGCGGCCTCGATCTCCGCCTGCGCGGCGTCCTCGTCGTCGTCGTCGTCGTCCGCGGCGGCGCGCGACGACGCGAATCGCGTCGACGTCGACGCGGCCGCCGACGCGAGCGCGGACGCGGCGGCGACGAGCGCGCGTCGGCGCGCGACGACGACGACGACTTCGCGCGCGACTTCGGGATCGACGGTCGCGTCCGCGGCGTCGCGCGGCCGGCTCGCGGCGGCCGCGGCGACGCGTCGTCGCGACGACGACGACGACGACGACGACGACGACGCGACGACGACGCGCGCGGGTGCCCTCGCGGCGGACGCTGCCGATCGCGCGGGCGGCCGGGACGACGACGACGACGATGACGCGCGCGCGGGGCGACGCGCCGACGCGGCCGCCGACGCGGACGTCATCGCTCTCGACGCCATCCCGAGCGACGACGGAGCGGAGGAGCGCGGCGGGACGGACGACGGGCTCGGCGCGCGGATAGAAGAGAGTGGTGATGACGCGGCGACGCGACTTCCTGTCTGTTCGTGATGAGACTGGTATCGAATGCGGTGGGCTCAGCTGGTTCAAGGTTAATTCAAGGTTAATTCAAGCGCGGACGCCGCCGAGCTCGACGACGTTCCCGTCCCCTCACATTTTCTACGATTAGAAAAGACCTCCGTCCGTCCGCGCGATCGACGCGCACGGCGCGCGCGACGCGCGGGTCCCGGACGAACCCGCGCGTCGCGCGATCGACGCTCCCGACCGCCGCGAGGAAAATATCCACCGCAAGGAATAAAACTTAATTTAATGCACTCGATCGGACCGAGCGACCCCTCGCGATCGCTTAGCGGTGCTGGATCATCGTCATGTTTGACGGCGCGAGCGTCGCCGGGAGCTGGCCGTTCATCTGCTCCATCGTGTAGATCCCGCGGCACTTCAGCTCGCGCGCGTGTTGCATCAGCACGCACGGGAGGCACACGCACGAGCAGCACTTGTCGCCGAGGCAGTCCGACTCGGTGATCCCGAGCTTGGTCTTGAGCGCGGTGCGGTTGGGGCCGGTGATGCAGCAGCCGTTGACGAGAATGTTGGGCGCGCACAGGCAGCAGCAGGCGTTGCAGAAGCCTGTTAAGCACGGGGGGAGGGAGGGAGGGGGGTCCGGCGTCGGATCGAGCGCGCGCGGGGGGCGGGGACGGAAAAGGCAACGCGGGGAGAGGAAAGAGGCCGCGTGCGGGCGCGTCGGGATATACAGGGGGCGAGTAGGAATCGTGACGCACTTTTGCCCTGGATGATGCGATCTTGCTGACCCGTGAGGGAGTTAATGGACAGGCAGCAGGTATCGCAATCGCTGAGGCACGAGCAGAGCCCGGTGGACCATTTCGCGGACATCTTGTTTGGATTTCGTGCGGTGTTACGCGCGCGTGATCGTCGTTGTGAATTGTGCTGGTGAATCGAGGGCGACGATCGTCGACTCCGAAGACGGGGACGCGGACGCGGCGACCGGCCGGGATATTTTTTACAGACTAATTGCTCTGTGCAAATTATTGTACACGGCGTCGTTTTTTCGGTTACACGCGTTGACCCGCGATTTTTCGTCAAACGGCGACTTTTTCGCGGTTCAAGCGACGGGCCGATGTCGATCGCGTCGAATTTTGATCGGGGTCGCCCTGCCGGTGAAAAACACATCTCTCGCGATCGACGGGCTCGCGTCGAATCAACGCATATTTATCACAGCGTGTGTCGCTCCACGGCGAACGCGCGCGCGTCCTCGCCCTCCCCCCGCTCCCCCTCCTCCTCCTCCTCGCGCCGTCCTCTCTTCTTCCCGCCCTCGCCGCCGTCGCCGTCCACCGCGACGTCTCCCCCGCCCCCGCGCGCGTCCTCCGCGTCCTCGTCCTCAGCGCCGCGTCCCCGCCACCGCCGCACGAGGCGAACGAGCGCGTCTCTTCCCCGCCGCGCGCCGCCGCCGTCCTCGCGGTCGCGATCGCGCTCGCCGCCGCCGCCGAGGTCCGGCGCCGCGCAGCACGGCGATCGAAAGCACCTCACGCCCGCGTACGCGAGCGCGAAGGCTATCCCCGCGGCGACGATCACGGCGACGATGATGACGACCGTCCGCGTCGATTCGAACCCTGAGGGCCGTTCCATACAAGCGAACGTCGGGGTGGAGTAGAAAGGCGTCAGTTGGAGTTGAAAGGCGTCAGTTGGCGGGGATTGAAAGCGAGGGGTGGGCGTAGAGATGCGCCGGGCAAAGTCCTTAAGGATCGGCGTTCACCACGCCGACGCGGTCGTATGGGGACCAGTGTATAGAACGCGCCTGAACCGTCGCCGGACGCGGACGGGTCCGGGTTGAACGGCGGCGACGACGCGAGGACGCTCACGGATCGCCGCGGCGGCGGCGGCGGCGGCGGGGCGTTGAGCCACGCGAGGAACGCGTCGAAGTACTCGTCGATCGTCGGCGGCGGAGGCGGCGGAGGCGGAGGCGGTAGATCGTCGTCGCGCGCGCCGCTCGCGGCGACCTCAGACGCCGCCGCCGCCGACGACGACGACGACGACGCGGCGTGAGGGCCGTTCTATACAAGCAAATGTCGGGGTGGAGTTGAAAGGCGTCAGTTGAAGTTGAAAGGCGCCGAGGACGGGGATTGAAAGCGGGGGGTGGGCGGAGAGAGACGCCGGGAAAAGTCCTTAAGGATCGGCGTCCACCTCGCCAACGGGGTCGTATGGGAACCAGTGTATAGAACGCACCTGAGCGGCGGCGTTCGCGTCTCGAATCGCGGCGAGAATCGCGGACGATTCCGCGCACGCGACGCCGCCGTCTGTCGCCGCCGCGGGCACGCCGCAGACGCGCGCCAACGCCGCCGCCGCCGTCATCGTCGTCGTCGTGACGCCATCCGATAACCCGTTACCGCTATTCTCGAACAGCGCGATCGCGCACTCGCACGCGGCGGCGACGTACGCGGCGACGGCGTCGCAGCACCCGCCCGTCAGCGTCTCCACCGTCGGCGCGAGACCGAATTCGGGTGTAGTTTGTAACGCGTCTACCCCGCACGTTACGCGTACCTCCGGTCGCAGCGACGCCGCGCACCTCGCCGCGCGCTCGAGCCACGCCCACCGTAGCATCTCGACGTCGGACGCGTGGACGACGACGACGTCGGACATCGTGAAGCGCGGCGACGGCGACGGCGACGGCGCGTCGACGACGACGCTCGCGGACTCGCGCACGACGACGGCGACGACGTCCCCTTCGCCCTCGCCGCGCGCCGCGCCCAGCCCCAGCTCCACTCGCGCGCGCGTGCCGTTGGCGTACGCGCGCGCGCCGCTCGGCGTCGCCGCGGCGTCCGCCTCCTCCGCCGCGACCGCGTGCAGCGTGCACGGAGCGGACGAGGAGGAGGAGGAGGAGGAGGAGGCGTCCGCGGCGAGGCGCCAGCCGCCGCCGCCGCCGCCGCCGCCGCCGCGCCAATCGAGCGCGCACGAACGCCGGAGTCCATCGGACGTCCACGCGTCGATCGTCAGCGACGCGTCGGCGGCGGCGTCGGCGGCGTCGTTCGGCGCGCCGAGGACGACGATCACGACCCTCGCGTCGTCGTCGTCGTCGTCGTCGTCCGCGCCGGCGCTCGACGACGACGCTCTCGTCAGGCGCAGCGCGCCTCCGGGGGACAGCTCGACCGCGCCCGGGTCGCTCGGCGCGTCGTCGTCGCCGCGCTCGAGCGCGGGCGACGTCACGGACGCGCGCCATCCGTCGTGCGCGAGCACGCCGTCGTCGACCACGACGACCGCGGCGTCCGCGACGACGACGCCGCCGCGGAGACGCGACGTCGTCGTCGTCGTCGTCGTCGTCGTCGTCGTCCGCGCGAGATCCGCCCGCGCGCGGGGCGCGACGCCGCCGCCGCCGCCTCCGCGAGCAGAGCCGCTCGGGCTCAAGAGCGCGGTCGCCACGAGCAACCGCCACGTCGCGGGGGCGATCGGCGCCGTCCCCGCGCGAGTTTGGCGACGACGCGCGACGCGCGACGACGGCATGGCGCGCGCGCGGTGCGCGATGATGGGACGGATGTCGCGCCTCGGGCGTTACGTCCAACGAAACGCCCCTTCTGTCTGAGCGAATCCACGTCAGCGCCGAACGCGACGACTGGAATCTTCAACGACGACGCGGCGAGGCGCGCGGAGACGCGTCACACGCGCGAGCGCATCTCGTCCGCTCGCGCGTCATCCCCGCCTCTTCGCCTCCCCTCGCTCCATCTCCCCCGACGTCGTCATGTTCGCCGCGATCGAGAGCGGGACCGCGCGCACGCCGTGGGGGTTCGACCAGACCACCGGCGCGGCGTCGTATCTCGGAAACAACGACGAGCAGCGAATATCCGGTGGGTGGGATTGCGATAAAGCGCCGTCGTCGCGCCCGCCGCGCGCGTCGCGTCGTCCGAGATCCCCGCGACTGACGCGCCGTCGCGAACGCCCCTCGTCCCTCCTCCTCCTTCTCCTCCTCCGCCTCCGCCTCCGCGCGCAGAGCGTCACCTGATGCACCACCTCGACGTAATGACGCGAGGGTTCCAGGTCGAGACGCGCACGCGGATACCCGCGAAAAAGTTGCACGTGCGCCTCACGCGCATCGACGCGTCGCCGTCCGCGAGCGCGCGCGCGACCGCGGTCCTCGCCGCGTGGGACGGGTTTCCCGCGGTCTCGCGCGCGAGCGCGGGGCACGCGCACGTCGTCATGAACGGCCATGTCGGAAACGCGCGCGAGATGCGCGAGCTGTACGCGCTGCCCCCGGCCGAGCCGACGGTGCGCGAAACGCGTCGGGGACGTCGAAAATCGCGTCGAATCGCCATTTTTTTTTTCATCTCACGCTCATCTTCTCTCCGACCGCCTCCGTCGCGCGCAGGGCCCGCACTTCATCGCGAAGATGGACGGATCGATCGTCCCGCCGCCGCCGTCGCCGCCGCCGTCGCACGAGGGCGCGGCGCTCATCCTCGCCCTGTACGCGAAGCGCTTCGAGGACAAGGACGGCGACCCGAGCGACCAGCCGTCCACCGCGCTCACCGCGTGCGAAGGCGAGTTCGTGATCAGACTACGTCCCACACGCGCCGCGTCGCGCGTTAAGCGTCGTTTCTTGAGGACTGACTCGCTCTATTTCTCAACCGCCGCTTGAAAAAACGTCTTTCGTAACGCTAACGTAACGCTTCTCTCATCAGGGTCGTTTTCGTTCGTCCTGATCGACGAGGAAAAAGACGTCGTGCTCGTCGCGCGCAGCGCCGAGAGCGACACGCACCCGATGTTCTGGGGCACTGCGCCGTCGAACGGCGGGGAAGATGGAACGTCAACCGACGCATCACACGCGAGCGACGACTGGGACGGCGCGCTGCTGCTCTCCAACGACTTGGCGGCCATAGACGTCGCGTGCGGCGGCGCCGCGGCCGCCTTCCCGCTCGGCGCGTACTACTACAGAGACGCGTCGATGGACGTCGGCGTCATTCAGGCGCGTTCTATCTCAAACTGGTCCCCATACGACCGCGTCGGCGTGGTGCACGCCGATCCTTAAGGACTTTTCTTCCCGTCGCATCTCTCCGCCTACCCCACGGTTTCAATCCCGACACACCGCGATGCCTTTCAACTCCGCTTCTGACGCCTTTGAACTCCACCCCGACGTCGCTTCGTACGGACCCTCGACCCTCAGAGGCTCGCCGTGAACTGCCGCGGCGTGAAGCGACGCGTGAACCCGCTGCATCGCGTGAACAGCAGCGGGCAGGTCTGCGGCCTCGGGTTCTTCACCGAGAGCGGCAGCGATCTCGCGTCGCTCTCGCACAAGTTCATCACGTGATGCGACGCGAAGAAGCGCGACAGACGACCCCGAAGACGAAAGAAATGTTGTTTTTTTACCACCAGACCGCGCCGCGCGGCGTCCGCCGCCGGCGGCGCCCTGTACACGTGTACAGTACCCCGATGTATGTAACGATGACCGAATAAGAACGCATAAAAACTCTATCATATGATACCCTACCTACTACATCACATACCCCTATTTCATAACGTATCCAGCGCGAAGACGCGGCGCCCCAACGCGCTCACGACCCCAGACGTCCCGTTCGCTTCCAACGCGCGCTCGATGAACCTCGCGCGTCGCCGCAATCGCCCTCTCCCCGCGCCCTCCCGCCTGAACCCCTTGACGAACTGCGCTATCCTCGGCACGTCGCTGTCGTTCGGCGCCGCCCCGTGCGCGAGCCGCTGGTCCCAGATCACGTACGACCCTTCCCTCGCGGTTACGCGCGTTTTCCTCTCGTGGATCGCGTCGCGGTCGCCAAACTTAGGGTCGTTCCATCGTTCAAAGCGACGTCGGGGTGTAGTTGAAAGGCGTCAGTTGGAGTTGAAAGGCGTCGCGGTGTGTCGGGATTGAACGCGAGGGACCCTGGGCGGAGAGAAACGCCAGGAGAGAAAGTCCTTAAGGATCGGCGTTCACCGCGCGAACGGGGTCGTACGGGGACCAGTGTAAGGAGAACGCGCCTTGAACGACCCGGCGCCGTCGCCGCGCCACACCAACCGATTCGCGTCCGCGTCCGCGTGCGTCTCCGCGTACGCCCGCCACGAGCTCCCCAGCGCGCGACTCCACTTCGCGAACGTCGCGTGGAACCCGGGGACCAAGACCGTGCCGCCGTCCTCGACGCGGTTGTCCGCGAGCGCGATGACGCCTTGGACGTGCGGCCCTGAGGGTCGTTCCATACAAAGCGATGTCGGGGTGGAGTTGAAAGGCGTCAGTTGGAGTTGAAAGGCATCGAGGGCGGGGATTGAACACGAGGGGTGGGCGGAGAGACACGCCGGGAAAAGTCCTTAAGGATCGGCGTTCACCACGCCAGCGCGGTCGTATGGGAACCAGTGTATAGAACGCGCCCGAAGCCGCGGACACCGCGTTGGTCTCTTTGCTAAAGTCGCGCGCGTGTTCAAACGGGAGCCGGTCCGCCTTCGCGCGCGGGCCGATCGCGTCGTCGACGTGGCCGTCGTTTCCCGCCACATTCGTGTCCGACACCGAGACCGAGACGTCGTCGTCGTCGTCCAGCGCGCGCGCGTTGAGCGCGTCGTCGCCGTACGTGAACGGGTTGAGGTCCAGGTGGAGGTTTCCGCGCGTCTTCCACTCCGGCTTATCCACCAGCTCGGTCGTCGTAACCGTCGTTTCTCGACCGTTTTCAACGTCGTCGTCAGCACTCGGTCTGCGCCTCAGCGAGAGCCCTCTTGTCGGTCGGTACAGGCACCAGCGATCTTGGCTCACGATGACGTCTCTCGGGGACACGGACACGCGAGCGGCGTCGGCGTCGTCGCCGCCGCCGTCGCCGGCGTCGCCGTCGGGGAACGACGAGAGCGCCGCGGCGAGGCACGCGATCACCTTCGGGTTCTGTCGGTTCATCACGCACCTGGGCGTAAACACGGACGGCTCCGGCGCGAGGCCGTACGTGTCGGACGACAACGCGTGCCACGTGTTCGCGTCGTCCCTCGACAGCGCCGCGCCGCGATGGCGATGCGTCGCCTCGAGGTAATCCCAGATCTCGTCGCGCGTCGCCGCGCACTCCTCGCGCGTGAGGACGTCGCGGAACACGACGAAGCCGTACCTGCGCCAGTGCGCGATCGCATCCGCGTCCACGCGGACGTCCTCCGCGCGCGCATTCGACGGCTCCACCCCGGGCGCGATGCTCGGCGCGTCGAACGCGAGGACGAACCCGTCGGCGTCCACGGGCGGGAGATCCGGGGGAGGGTACGTCGCGACGGCGCGCGCGTCCGTCGCCGCGGTCGCGGCGGTCGCGTCGTCTCCCGCGCCGCTCGCGTCTTGGAGCCCCCCCGCCGCGAGCTTCGCGCGCTTCTTCTTCCGCGACGTCGTCCCGCGCGGGACCCACGTCTTCGCTTTCAGCGCTCGGAGCGTCGCCGCGGCGGCGGCGACGCGCTCGCGCGACGCGCCCGCGTCGTGCAGTCGCCGCACGACGAGAAGCTGTCGATGGTAGTCGTCCGCGTCCTCGATCGCGTCCGCCGCGGACGCGGGCGCGGGCGCGGCGGCGGCGGCGGCGTCGCCGCGACGCATCCCCCGCGCGACCGCCGCGACGCGACGCGAGCGCGCCGAGGTGTGCGCGTGGCGTGATGACGAGCGACCTCGGGGTCCGATCTACACTTAAGTATTTTTCATCTGTCACTGCCAGACTGCACTAACTACCGCCCGCCAGAAGAGACGACTCGACGTCTACACGTACGCTTCCGAGGTCTACTCGCTCGCCCTACGCCGCGCCGACGCGCTCACGCACCGCGCGCTCCACCCGCGCGGCCTCCTCCTCCGCCGCCGCCTCGCACCTCCCCCGCCACCACGCCCCGACGTCCCAAACGTGCCCGTTCGGTTCCACCAGGTGCTTCACGAGCGCGTCCTCGATGACTGACGAAGTATCGGTCGTCAGTTGAAAGGGAAAGCGATGAAATGTTGAAACCGAGGGTTGCGGGTGGGTGGGTGAAAAACGCAAACGTTCGGCGAAGGAGACCGCGACCGCATGCAGCGCGAACAGAACGAACGCACCCGACTTCAACCACCCGTCCACGCCCGGGAGATCCGTGAGACTCAGCCCGCCCAGCCCCTCCGGCGCGATCCGCAGCGACGTCCGCGGCGGCTCCATCAGCGACACGCGCGACCGCGACACGAACGGCGCGCTCGGCTGGAACTCGAGCGACACCTTCGCGTCCAAGTCGCGCGCCTCGAAGAGGACGCGCAGGTCGAGAGACGCGCCGAGACCGGCGACGACTGCGTCCACGCGCATCGCCGCGCCGACGCCGAGCGCGAAGACTCTGAGGGTCGTTCAAGTCCGTACGTAGCGACGTCGGGGTGGAGTTCATAGGCGTCAGACTTGGGAGTTGAAATGCGTCGAGGTGTGTCGGGATTGAAAGCGAGGGACCCTGGGCGGAGAGATGCGCCGGGAAAAGTCCTTAAGGATCGGCGTTCACCGCGCCAACGCGGTCGTACGGGGACCAGTGTACAACAGAACGCGCCTGAGCTCCAAGACGCGCGCGCCGTCGGACGCGCGCCGCGTCGCGCGCGTCACGCGCGCGTTCGAGAACGTCGGCGGCCGCGGGTCGAAGTCGAACGACCGCAGCGTCGCGGACTCGAGCGCGCGCGGGCGGCGCACCGCGAGACGACGCGCGGCGACGTCGCCGACGAGCCGCGCGCTCCAATCCCGCAGGAACCCGCCCCACGCGGACGCGATCGACGCGTTGAGCCACCCCAAGTCGCCGCCGTGGACGTCGTCGTCGTGATGATGGTGGTGGAGGTTTAACACCAGCCGCTCGATGTGCGCGGGGGTCAGCAGGTCTCCGGAGGCGGCGCCGGCGGCGGAAAGCCGTTCTAAGGGTCGTTCCATACAAAGCGATGTCGGGGTGGAGTTGAAAGGCGTCAGATGGAGTTGAGAGGCGTCGAGGGCGGGGATTGAACGCAAGGGATGGGCGGAGAGATGCGCCGGGCAAAGTCCTTAAGGATCGGCGTTCACCACGCCAACGCGGTCGTATGGGAACCAGTGTGAGATAGAACGTGCCTGAGAGCGCGTCGAGCGCGGCGCGCAGACGCGTCGTCTCTTCTCGCGCGCGCGTCGCGTCGCGCCGGTGCGCGTCGCGCTCTCGCTTCGCCTCCGCCGCGAGACGCTCCGTCTCGACGCACCGCGCGTAAATCACCGCGACCGCGAGCGTGCACCACAGCGGGAACCCGATCGTCGTGACGACCAACGCGGCGAGGGTCACAAAGAACGCGACGTGCGCGGCGGGGGGCCACGACGCCGCCGCGGGTGAAAGTTTCTCGAGCCGCGAGCGCGCGGTCTCGAGGACGCGGCGCGTCGTCGCCGCGGGCGCCGCGGGGAGCGCGTGCACGATGGCTTCTGCGATGGACCCGCCGAGGAGGGGTTGTGGTTTCGGCGGCGAGGCGGTCGACGCGGCCGCCGGAGCCGAGGGCGGCGGCGCCGGCGGCGGCGTCGACCGCCTCGCCGCCGAAACCACAACCCCTCCTCGGCGGGTCCATCGCAGAAGCCATCGTGCACGCGCTCCCCGCGGCGCCCGCGGCGACGACGCGCCGCGTCCTCGAGACCGCGCGCTCGCGGCTCGAGAAACTTTCACCCGCGGCGGCGTCGTGGCCCCCCGCCGCGCACGTCGCGTTCTTTGTGACCCTCGCCGCGTTGGTCGTCACGACGATCGGGTTCCCGCTGTGGTGCACGCTCGCGGTCGCGGTGATTTTCGCGCGGTGCGTCGAGACGGAGCGTCTC